GGGGGGGGGGGGGGGGGGGGGGGGGGGGGGGGGGGGGGGGGGGGGTGGTACACATCAAGGTGTATTCATAGCCGCATGCCGTTGTTGTTAGACCATGGACGTCGCATACGTGCAAAGCCGGGGTCGGGGGGTGGGGAACGCGCAGCTGCCCCCGTCACGCTCCGTGATGTGGTGTTGACGTCAGCCATGACGTCAGCTTTGTAGCAAAGAGTGCAACCGCACGAACTTGAAGTGAACCCGCACAAGTTTGTATAGGCACCTTGCGCCGTCGCCGGGGCAGTAGCATCACTCCCAAACTGATTAGTAATTGTGTCGCCCCGGTTGTTGTGTTTGCAACGTGTGTTTTCCGGTGTGGTTCCAAATCCTCTTGCATGGCAGGGGGTCTAGATCGAGCACCATGGACGATTTCCTGGGCGGAAATGAGGTAGATATCATCGAGCCGGTCAAGCTCGACGTCGCCGAAGAGGTGAGAGCAGAGAAACATCTCACGGCATCTCACGGCAAGGTTTTTTTGAAATTCCCCACTTTAGCAACACTACAGTAACAGGTGTGCACTGTAATTTTCATATTTCTTATATTCCGGTTAAGAGAGCTTCCGCGCTTCAAGACATATTGGCGGCTTGCTTGTTGTTCGTCACTTTTTGGGGGTTCGGGTTCCTTGTGTTTTTTTGCGCTCGGGGGAGGTAGAGTCTGCCTTGCCCCGACAATGCCTTGTTTTGATTGGAGAATCAAGACAAGGCAACGGCTCACCATTTCATGCACACAAGGAACGTATGTTACGGAGTCAAGTATAGATTGGCCTTCGTGTTGAAGCCAAAGTCATGCTTTTCTCCGTGCTACGTGAAGGAAGTGCTCTCGTCAATTAGACATGCACAACTGACCATGGAAGAGAGAAAATATTGGCCGCATCCATTCCGAAAGTGTTGGTTGGTTTGCTCTGGGAAATGCCCATCTCGAAGCGCTGCATCGTCAGCTTGCGTCGATACGGGTGTAGTGGTTGAGAAAGGCCTGTGACCAACGCTTTCTTCTGCATTGTGGGCTTGAAGTCATGTGCGATGTCTAACACGGCACCTCAAGCGGTATGCAACCTTTTTGGCGTGTTGCTTGCCTCTCATCTACCTTTTGTGCTCTTAGTTTCAACTCTACTGTAGAGTGTGTAGTGTTTGGTGTCCTGTCCTGAACAACAAAGACTTGTACCGCCCCCATCGCAAGAGACGTCTCCTGCAGGTAGCGGCCAAATTCCCAGCTAGGGCACCCCATAGGCAACTTCATCAAACCTTCACATCACATCAACATACCCGCACTTCAACTCCCAACGAACGGCCACCCCCGCCTCCAGGTACGAGTGAACTCCTGCAAGAAGTGGTTCAAGGAACACGGAGTCACCCCCGGGGTGGACTGGGGCACCCTCCCGGCCCCCCAGCAGCAGCTGTGGGTGTTATACCGCTGTGACGATGTCGACCTAGAGGAGCCTCTGGTGGCGACAGCGGGGGACCCGGATGTAGCGGTACCGGCACCCCTGCCCAAACCTGGAGACGTTGGGGACGTTGCAGGTGGCGTTGAGCCTCGGAAAGGCGGAGGACGAACAAGGTAGTAAGGGAGAGGACGGTGGTAGCAAAGCGGCGAGGAGCGCGACTTAGAGTATAGGAAGGACGGGTCAGTGGCGGCAATGGTCGGGGTGTGCGACGGAAACGGATGGTGGTGGTGGTAGTCGACGACGGTCGGGATATTGGCAAGATTGTTGTGGGTTGTTCTTTGATTTGTGTCACACTTCTGTGTTTGTCGCGCCCCTTGTTTCGCTGACATGTGTAGTAGGTAGAGATTGTGACACTCTGCATTCTTGTGAGGTATTGTGAAGAATCGTTTACCGCGTATTTTGTGCGGTAGTCACGCGTGTATATATGTTGGACAATGTTTAGGATCTATTGGGATCACCTGCCGCTTCTCGCGGAATTTCACATGTTCCTACTGCTCGGGTGCACAAGTTCATGTTTGTGTTGTTGTGAAATTGTTGTGTACTCTCGTGTCTGTAGAGTACGTACGTATCTCTAGCGCCAGGGCTGATATCCTATGTATGTCAATTTCCGGATTATGCTGTTGTGACGAAGACTTGCCAATTTTTCCGACCGCATTTGTTCTCCGTAGTGAAGCTGCAATACACGCTCACTACTCTTCTCCTTGTCGTTGAAAGTGTTTTTGCGCTGTAGTTCGGGGGCACAAGTGTGTATGCTGCGCGGCAGCTATGCACAGCAGAGGTAGACACAACGACTACAACACCCCGACATCAACGATCGGCCACGTGGAAAACAAAGTTCTCGCAACTTCATTTTGGCGTTGTTTTTGACACGAAGCGTTCGCTAGTCGAATATCAATAAGCTGGCGAAGATGGAGTTAACGGACCTTGGAAAGTTTCCACGGTTGTGGTATGGCAGGAAAGGTGCGGCGTCAACAGTCACTGTTCTTCAATCTTCATGTGTCTCATGATTTGTGGCAGACACCATGGTTTTCGGGACCTGTCGCCAGCCTTTTGACTTTTTTGCCGCCGACTCGAAACTGATGAAATAGTGGTTGTTCGTTCGTGTTGATACATCCCTGCCTGTGTCCTTGGACCCCCTGCATAACTCAGATTGTTAGTAAATTCGGATGCATGGTGGGATGATGCCTCTTCGTATTTTTTTTTTTGCCGTGAGGGTTGGCACGAACACCAACATTAGTGCTGCGTTCTACTTATAGCAATGTCGGAAGAGAGGAAGATTCGTTCGGTGGCTTGCGTTCGACGGCGAACCAGGGGAACACCGACGCTCTCATCGTTCAAGAGAAACTTGGCATCTGCGGGAAAATTGGCGCCACGGGTCTGACCAAAAAGCAACACTTGGAGCACGATAAATGAGTTGATGTTGAACAACATCGTCACCGTGAGTACATATACAGGAGTGAACAACAACGTGGCCATCAGCTGCAGTCACCATAATTCACTTGGGCCTTTTCATGGCCGTTGTTATGACAGAATCATCACAGAGCATCGTGACATGTCATAATATACACGGTTCATCGCATGTCACGACATCATGTAATACGATGTACACGTTTTCCGGGATAAAATGCAGCGCGTCCCCGGGTTCCGATTGTCATATCCCGTATTTCCAGTAGCGGTGCCCCAAGTTCCCAATAGCGGGACGTTGTTGTCAGCGCAGAGCAACAGCCCACGGTCTCAGAAGTGCCCCTAGAAGTGAGGAATCGGCAAGTTTCCAAGCAGCGGGTTTCGTCGGGTGCTTATCGAGGGACTTGGAGGCAGGCAGAGTCGTGCGTGAGTGAGAGTCGTGTGCGAGAGTTGCAGGCAGCCGGGTGTGAGCAAGAAGTGATTATTGTACCGCATCTGCAGGACTGCAACAGCAGCAGAGAGGAGCACCTGCGTCTCGAACCATACAGAGAAGCATCGAACGACACCGAAACGATATTTATTCCCGTGCTACCGAGAACTCTGGTGAGTAGAGGTGAGGGGACAGGATTATTATTGCAATCATGTCATGACGTCATAACATAGACTTGACTACATCGGGCTCCAAGCGATGAAGGATATTTTCCTCGGAGGCTGTGGTATCACGAACATGACGTCGCAACAAGTGAGGCACGTTGTCGGTGAGGTCGTGTAGTCTACGGCTCTTTCAAACAGTTCATCGTGCTGCTGTACGTAAGACTGTTTGGCGGCGTTTGATATCCTACACAGCATTTCAAGCTCGCCTCAGTCAAGACTACCACAGGGCCGCTTGAGCGGGCTTTTTTTTTTCAACACAATTGTTTTCCGAGTTTTCTTTATCCGAAGGTGTAGGAACAGAACCTCTTCGAAATATGGGCAAAGTTTCCAAACATCGACCTCACACGTTCGCGCACACCGGCTTTACCTTCGTACATGCATGTTGTCGGTTACGTATCAATATCGATATCCTGAACAAGCAGAGTGAAACGGTTACAACATGCTCCGTTTCCACATGAGAAGAAGACAATTTCGGCAACGATGGAGGCCTTCGCTCTGGAAATAGAGGCCACCCTTGCACAGAGGCGGCAGGAGATGGGCCAGGAGTGGGACGGCATTGATGAGGAATGGCAGACGCTCCGGAAACGTATGACCAAGGTCGGCATCACCACGCCTTAGACTCGAAAAAGGGAATAGTGAAGTTGAACCTTGGTGGTTTACTTGTCACCTTTCGCCGCCCGGTGCTTGAGGGAAGGAAAGCAGCAGCGTCCTTCGACGTGGGCTATGGGAAATATGTTCGAGGCTGAGTCGGAAAACCGTGTTGCCCGCGATTCAGATGGCCGCATCGTGCTTGATGAGTCGCCGACTTGGGTCAAGCACCTCGTCCAAGGCCTTCTTTTCCGTTCCTCCTTGGCTAAGGATACCGCATCTCGCGATGGTGAGGTCGCCGGCGACGACATACTTAACCTTCTTCATTACACGGCGCGCGTCCTCGGTCTGTCGGGACAACTGGCTCCTGTCTTGATGCCGATAACGGGAGGGACAGCTATCTTGGAACCTCACGAAGCCAGCAAGCTGACTGCTGGTGTTCAAGGTTGGTGTCCTGGGTGTTCTGTTTGGGCTGGAACTGCTCTACCGAAGTGACGGCTGGAACGGTGCTGCCTTCCATGCACATTGCTGCGAAGACAGTCCCTCAAGAGGGACCTTGTTCCGGGTGAAGGGCGGAGAGACAGGTGGGACAAACAGCATGATTGGGTGGTTCTCGGGCATCTCGTGGGCTGCTGACAATTGCTATAGCTCTTGCCCGGAAGCGTTCGTGTTCTTGGTCAAGCCAAGAAGGTGGATTGGGACCGGCCTCCTTTCAACCAATCAAGTGGGGTGTCAAGGGTGGACAGGCCCCGAGGGTCGTTGATCGAGGTCAAGCATTTGGACCAACCTTTGGGGGTGGACATGACCTAAAGGAGAACTGGAATAGAACCAAGACCACTCCTAAAACGGGGAACTACACGTACGATGTCCCGGTCGGATCCCCTTTTCTTCAACTCAACGGATGCCCCATTGTGGATATCGAGACATTTCGCGTGTGCCCCAAGCCGACAAATACCTCTTCTTCGGCCAAAGGAAACTTGACGCCATACAAGACACAGTGGCGACGACGACACCTGTGAGGACTAAAGACGATGTCCCCGCCTTCGGACATTTGGTCGCTGACTTGTTGATGGAAGAGGAGGTGGTGCTGCAAGAAGCCGGCATGGAGCTTTCCTTGCCAAGGCCAGGACGACCACATACGCAACAGCCTTGGCGGCGGTGTATTGTCCAGATATGGCGATGGGACTAGAGGTGGACTTTATGGAGCTAAGCGTGCGCGGGACCAGGATGACGACTTTGCGTTCCACCCTGAGGGTTTGCCCCGACTCCGCTCTTGCCACTCGATTCGACGAGGACAAATGGCCGGCGGCGAAGAAGGATCTCGACAGCAACGGGCGTCGTGTGATCGACTGCAAGCCGGCCGTCTTCTCGAAGGTGCTGGATGTACTGCGCATGGCGACGCGCGCATCGTGGGCTGGTAGCGAAAAAAGCCAGCAAGTGAACGAGAAACCTCGCGTCACCATGAAGGTCGGTGACCGTGTGGCGTTCGAAGAGTTTGTCGGCATGAATTTCCCCGGCTGCGAAAGCTGCATCCTGGACTTCGTTGATCTCCGTCATGACGAAGAGGCCGACCCTCGATCGCGTGGTGCAGACGCGGACGGATACCGGCGCTACGGTGAGAAACTGTGAGGCGAAACCCGAGAGAATGAGATATGCATGATGCGCAAGCCACCTGCCGACGACGACAAGATAGCTGTTGGATTCAATATTTTCTACCATTCACTGGTCCCGGTATCTGGTTCGTACTCTTGTACAGAGCGGGAGAAAGCGCGTTTAGACCGCAGTAGCAGAGCTTCCGATATTTCCAACATGGTGGTTATCAACCCCCACAGCGTGTGAGTGCCTGCCGGACAAGAGACCACATGTGGTAGATATTTCTGCTCGTTCGTAAAAGTTCCTCTGAAATCTTCTCCGTTGGCCCATGAATCATCGTAGTCATATTGTACCATCGTTGTTGGAGAGAGTGAACGTCGTCTTGTATTTTCGTTCAACATGACTTCCCAAATAACGCGTATTGACTCAAAGGGCCCACCTTTCAACACAGAGACCATGATAAATGCGGTCGCGATCCGTCAGACCGTTCATCCGTACTCTACATCGTTTCATTATGAAAATCAGAATATGACAATGTCCGTACTTGCCCTCACGTGAGCCTTTAGTATCACAATATCACTCGCTCTCGAGTTTTGTCATGGTGATGCCTTCTGACGCCGTGTTGCGCGCGATCCTTCTCGGCTTTTCTGATTTCTCGGAATCTCGGTATTCTCTTCCAAGCCGTCCTCCACCATTTCCCGAACGCCACATTCTACTTTTGTGGTACAGCTCCATCGTTCGGACGGTTTGACGGTTTTGGACGGTCGTCTGATGCCGCTTGCAACAGCATGCCATGCCCCCTGCCTGAATCCATGTCCAACACGATGCTTCCCTGCGTAGGTGGTGGTGAATAACTCGACTGTGGTTTCACTATGAATTTCCTCTCCTTTGACGGCCGTGGCGTCAGACCTCCTCTTCTTTCACTCATTTTCCCCGAAGAATGGATCGCCAACATGACGCTTGCAACCCGATGCACCAAGCTTGAGTACGAAATGACGATCGATCGGCCGTTTGCACATCAAGAGAGTGAAATAGACAAGCGTCGAAACCCACGCGGAATCCTAATGAAATTGTTCATATATTGTTCTCTGTGGTTCAGTATACTCTTTGCTTGCGCGGGCCAGGGTTGAATCACCCACTGTTGTGACGACCTTGTGACCCCCTGTCCGCTGCCCGCTCTACGTTCGCAGGAGCTTTCAGAGAATTCCACCAAATATTGCGCTCGCCGCCTTTACGAAGCAATCTTCTGCGCGTTGCTCGGGGTTCATTCTTATTCCTCCTTTGACAATCTTCCAGACACGTGACCGTACTCCTATCCTTTCAATCCGGCACGATGACAGCCTGCGTCGCAATGCTATCTCGCGATAGGTGCGTGCGTGCTGTTCGTGGTTCTGCGAACATTGGTGTTGGATACATGTGCTGTATGATTTGGTGTCACGCAGACTGGTAAGATTGCCGTTTGGTAGGGGGCACAGCGACGATTCACGGGGCCCCTCCTTGCTGTTGGAGACGCTCTGTTTGGAACACTCCCTCTTTCGTCCGTGTGAAGGACGGTCGTCTACCTCTCGTGAAGTCAATACATCACCAAAACAGCCTCGCCTGATCAATGAGTGGCGTAGGCCGCAAACACTCTATAGAGTTTTTTGCCCCTCGAGGGAAGCCCCATTGGGATGAGCTCTGCTGGAGACGAAGAGCGCACTGCTGCGAGCGGAGAACAGATCCGCCCGCCGGTGCAGGAGGGCAGCGATGCGGAGCTTGCAAGTTCGCAACTGCAGGTTTCGCGATTGGCGGCCCTGGTGGAGGAATCGACAAAGAAGGACGAGCCTGGCAGCATCGTGGCGGATGCAGCCAGTAGGGGCAGCTGGGTTGCTGCCCCCGCAGGCCAACAAGAGCCCTTGCAGCCGCACGGCGGAGGCGGGGGATTTGTCCAGCAGCAAGCGAGAGATGGTGGGCACGGACCAAGTCAGCTGCTGGAAGGCGGCTGGGCCAGCAGATCGGGAGCGAATCCTGCGGGCCCAGCCTAAGTGGGCCCGGCCATATGACCGGACTACGGGGAA